CTACTCCTTGTTTATTGCTAGACCCGTATTCATTGCTTCCTTACTTATTTTTTCCAGGTTCGATGCGCTAAGAAAATCTTTGGACGACGCCCCTTGTCTGAAAAGGTAGGAAGGGTTCATAACTACTGCAATCCTCATTTTATTAGCGTGCCCTTTTAGATTGGATGAATTGTTCATGTGTCATTTATTCATGTTCTCTTTATTTCGTTTCAGTACGCACAAAATCCTGCAGCGTACCCATTACCAGAAAGGTGGGTGATGCTCTACCTTGATATTACTGTGCGAGCGCGTTTTAACCCACAATACAAAGTGATCACACCAAAGTAGGGTATTTGAAAATACCAAAAAGAGCCAATGTGCTCTCAGAGTTAACGCACGTGACCGGAGTCAAGCGCGAGATAAAACATGTCATCAAGTTGCCATCGGTTTTAGTTTTGAATCTGATTGTTTGAGAAAATGGTGCGATATTAGAAAGATTTAGCAACGCGTGAACGGCAAGAGTGACCACATGACCTTGTTTTTCCCGCTATTTTTTCGCATTTGCCGGTTGCTCTTGCCGTTTCTACGTGAAAATAACCCGTTTGGCGTGTACGTAAGATTATCTTCACTTTTTCTCTCACAGAGTAGAAGTTAATCGCCGGAAAAAGGGCACCAAAACTATTCTTTGTAAGCCATACAAGGGCGCTTTCAAATCCACCATGGCATGAGCTCACACGAAGCTAAGGCGTCCAGGTTCACACTATTTTTCGTGAAACGTGAAAGGGCAAGCTGACGTTTGCCGTTTCACGTAAACGCGGTGCTAAATCTCACTATTTTCATACCAATAACACAGCGTAGGATAGCAAAATATACTTAATCCCCAGACACTTTCAACTCTCGATTGAAAACTTTTTCTATAAACCTATCAGTTTTTTTGTAGGATGTCTTTACTACCCTCATCACATTTTATGTTCGAGAAAAGAAATGGACGGCTGATTTGTAATGTCCCCTAACTTTCAAACCCATGATAAGATAAATTACCATTTCTACGAACAGCATGGGCAAGTTTCATTTCATTTTCCTTTCAGAAATTCTGATTTTTCACGACTCGCACGAAGGCTAACAGGGACGTCCATTGGATTAATTCTTGGAGGAGGCGGAGCCAGGTAAATACCGACAAATCTTTTCTTGGGTGCTCATTACTTTTTTCCGAAGGATTATTCCCATATCATATGAATGCTTTTGCTTGGGTGACAACAGGAGTGCACGCGCTGTGATTGCATGAGGATGATGTGTTATTATCCTTCAAATATTTTGTAACGCGTGTGAAAAAGTGTTTACGAACAGCTTCCTAATTGCTGCGTGGGATCTTTTCTTTCGAGTGTTTTCTGGTACGACGTTATGAACAAACAAATATTTCCATTTTTCTGTAACAACCACAAGACGATCTCTCATCTTACATTCAATTTTAAACAGAGACTAATCGTAGTGGACGAAAGGTTTAAAATTGAAGAATATCACCTGGGTGATATTTAACAACTATTTACCGAAGTGGAGGTGGTTAGTGGTGCATATTTACCGAGCCGCGAAGTGGCGAGGTAAATATCCACCGCTAACCACCGACACTGAGGTGAATAGTTGTTTTAGTATATACTAAAACAGTGAGATAATACACACCACTAAAAATTAATTTGAGTGCTTTCTTCGCTTGTCACGGATGCAAACCGGGACGCCATTTTTTCCCGAGTTTCTCGGAGGTAAATAGCAAAGGATATTCGGATTTTGACTAGCCAATCAGAGCGCGCCTTCAACGCTATCCACTGTTTTAGTATATACTAACTACGGATATCACCTAGTTTTAGCAGGGGAAAATTCGGTCACGTGATGCGTTTAGACCAATCGCACGCGAGGTATGATGTTTTATGGATCATGACGTTCACTAGTTAGCTTACGCGAGGTTATTATAACACTGGAGCATTACTCTCCGGAATGTTCATCGTGCAGGACTTTTAGATGTTTTCTGGGAAAATGTTAAGGAAAATGCATTTATGAAATGTTTGATGACACAAGGCAGCAATTAGTACCAAAGTAAATACTTTTAACGGGCCGCCTCTAGCGTTCAAAAGCATAGGTTGGCTAAAGTTTTGTAGTTAATTATTTTAGAGCGTGGCACGAGGAGACTGCTGTTTTGTCTCCTTATAAAATATTGTTTCTAACTTAAGAATTTGTAATTTCATAGGGGATTATCTCATGTTGGAGTCATCAAAGCCCTAGAGGAAGCAGGTTAAACCTTTCATCTACTTCATACGTTTTTCTTTACAAGTTTATGGACTCTTAGACTAGTGAACTGAATTAGAAAGGTAGCCAATTTTGAGCTCAGTTATGGAATAAAGAGGGAAGATGTTACTATGAGCGAGCGAATCCCAGAGCTTCATATTGCACTTTCCAGTATTTCACTTTTTCATTTTGCAGTAGTCCAAGACTTGAGTTCCAGAATGGCAATGAATGTCCCGTTACCAGTATTCGCAGTTTAGAAGCATTAGTGATCTATATTAGCAGACTTAAAGCTGCTTCAAGTTCCTTTTCGGCTTATGTTCTGGGACGCCCACAACCTCGATCTCGAACATTTGCAATACCCGACTCTTTCAATCGGAAATTGATCTCAAATATGTCTCGATCATGTTTGCTTTTCTCGTAGGTATACCTATAGACATGGTAGGTGGCACCAGTATGGGATCCTTTGTTGGTGCAACGTACGCCGACACTGCTGATGTCAATAGAATGTGTCAAAAGGTCCGCGAGTGGTCAATAGTAAGAACTTGTAGGGCGAACTTGAGTGACACCACAGTAGACTCAGTATATTTTTAACGTTATTTTTTTGGAAATCTTTAGGTAACTTAGAGAACTTAGAGGTTTGGTATGGTGTGCTATCCTTCCATGCGTACTTTTGAATTGGTTTTCAGTCGTAACAGAACTAGAGCTATTCTTAGAAGGTCCTACCTTCACTAGTTCGTCGCATACCGTCTCCAGTCTCCAAAGCTCGTAACTCGGCCATACCTTAAGGGAGGAAAGCGTTACGAGTCTCAGTTGTTTGTCAACTGGACAATGTTACTCTCTTTAAACTTTTCAGGACATGACGTCCCTATTCAAGAAGATCCTGGATCTAACGTATCCATTCACCTCCATGTTTTCTGGTGAGATTTTTTCATGTGTAGTTCACTTTAATTGAAACTAAAAACAGACTAACACTTATATCATATGACCATTTATTTATTTATTTGTTCGTTTTAGATTTTTTATTGTTTTGTTGTGGTTGTTTTTCATTTAAGATTATTCTGATCTTACGAAGCTTTTTATCTTCCCCTCTACTATTGCAGGAAGTGGATTCAACGCGAGCATAAGAAGTACTTTTGGAGAACGCCAAATAGAGGTACAAAGATAAAGATTACTTGATTATATTATCGTGATTATTAACTTCATCAAAGTGTATTGCAAAAGATTACTATTTTTGTTTCGAGAAACTCTTAAATGGAAAGAGTAATAGCAAAACAAAAAAAAAATTATCTGTAAACAAATACAGAATAACGTAAAGGAAAGTGAAGTTTAACACAGCATATTTGGCAGATAGTCCTCAACACTGACTTTGATAATTTACCACTAACGTGATCTTTGGTTATCATTTATTCGCAGGATCTCTTATTGCCTTACTTTTGCATCACAACTGACATAACGTCTTCTAGAATGAGGGTACATACCGATGGTAAGTAGTGTTGTATTCGTCTGATATGTTCAACCTTTTTGCGTTTTCGTAGCTTCTTAACAGATCCAGATCTTTACCAATTGGTTGAATCATCCAGCCCTGTATTATCGTAAGCTTGCGATGTGGCTCATACCATATAAAATATATGTATTTCCTCCAAATATTTTCAGCGACCCATGAAAGACACAATAAGACTTCCAAATCAGATTGATCACAAGTGGAGCGCGTTTAAGGCAACCTGTGATCTAATTCTTTTTTTCTCTCTTTCTTTTCTTCTTATTTCTCACGTGGAGCAATAACTTTTGTGCTCTTAAAATAAAACCGATTCCCGGTGCAGAAGAATTCCAAATCATAAAGGTGCTACCGGACCCCTTCTTTTTATTTGAACTGTGAAGTTCTTCCGAGATTAGGAGTCCTTTGGTTGAAATTTTTAACTACTTACTGCAAAACGCTACTAAGAAATCGTATTTGAGGAGAATGACCTTAACATAACAGCTTCCTCCTTTTACAGGCTGTTTATGGCGTTATGTCCGTGCTAGTATGTCTCTGTCGGGTTATCTACCACCACTTTGTGATCCCAAAGACGGACATCTGTTATTGGACGGTGGATATGTCAATAATTTACCTGGTGAGTAGGCGTTACCATTTTAATCAAACAGCTTTTCTTGTTAGCTTTTTATTTACCACCGAATCCTTTTTGTTGTTAAAAATACGCATGCGTTAATTTGTAGCGGATGTAATGAAGACAATGGGCGCACAGACGATCATAGCGATTGATGTAGGATCGGAAGATCCCGATGATCTTACGAATTATGGCGATCAATTGTCGGGCTGGTGGCTTCTTTGGAACAAATGGAATCCTTTTGCTGAAACCGTCAAGGTTGGTGATATTATACAAGAAGCGATTTTTGTTATTTGAAACTCGACGCTATATAATCATAAGATACGATGAATTTACTTCTACTGCGAGGATCGTGCATCATACGTATATAATCATAAGTTGTTTTTCTTCGAAAGATTCCAGACATGGCCGAAATCCAATCCCGTCTGGCCTATATATCTTGTGTTAGACAATTAGCGGAAGTAAAGGAGAGCAGCTACTGCGAATACATAAGACCGCCAATCGACAGGTAGGTCTCACAGGATCATTCACATAATTCAGAACGCTTCGAAGGAAAAGTCAGATCTGATTTGAGGGTGCCGTGAAGTTTCGATAGGATGCGACTTGGCTGCCTGATTGGTCAGATGATTCATAACTAACTGAATCTTAAATAACCTAACGACAGACTCACTGACTGAGTCTGACAGACTGGCCGACTCGTTGACTGACTGACTAAGCCACCGAATGACTGATTGAACAAATGAATCATTGATTCGCTGGCTGAATTTGACAGACTGACCGACTTACGAACCGAATAACTGACTGACTGATTGACTGACTCACTGACTCACTGACTCACTGACTCACTGGTTGAGTGACAACTGATGGACAGACTGATCGGTTTATTGATTGATTGGTGATCGGTTTATAGTGTGCTTGCTTTCTTGCTTGCTTTCTTGCTTGCTTAAGTATTGTTTATTGATTGGTAGGTTTAAGACTTTGGAGTTCGGCCGTTTCGATGAGATAGTGGTGAGTTGAATTTGATGCATCAGAAGCGTTTCATTGCCTTGTTATTATCCACCAATTAGGCTCTCGACGCCCTGATTATTGCTGTTTTATTGAAATTTCCTCTCAGGATGTGGGATACCATCACGGTAAGACTGTTTTCAAAGGCTGGGTGAAAGGAAACAAATTACCCGACATCTTTAGGGAACATCCATCTAGGAGTCACATGACCCATGCGTATGCTACCGGACAACCTGTGGGAAAGGTAAGCAACCAAACCGGAAAAACTTGTCTTGCACGGCATGGCTTGTTTTTTTATTGATACGGAACCATAGCAATAATGCCATGACCAGATTGTTCCAGAAAATAATGAGTAAAGAGATTAAATGTTGGCACCTCGTTCTAAACTTGTTAAACTTTTTATTAATAATGTTAACTTTAATCATCAGGATATATTTGAAGCATATCCAGTCAACCAGGATCATTACTTTTGAACATTCTCTTTAAATTGTTTCCGAAGGTGTCAGAGCATAGTACTTTCACTAACTTGGCTGAGCATATATCCCGCATTGAACCACCCTACACTCACGAGTGGTTACCATTCTCCTCCTCGGATGAACTGATAGGATCCAGTTCCACACCTGGCCACCATATGTACTCGGCCTCTGAGGAAGACGACGAGTACGATGAACAAGAAGAAAACCTTGTTCGTGTCAGGCCAAGAACAGGTTCTCTGTCAGAACACGAAGATTTAATGGCTCTTAAGGCGCAAGCTCAAGCTGTTGTTCGGCACGAAGAGGCTGGATACGATGTAAGTTTCATAGCTGTGCTTTAAAGATTTCATTGTTGCGTACAGTAGATGTATTAGTTTCACGCGACAACACATAATTATTCATCTTGAAGTCGATATGATCGGTGTTCTCTGCCAGTAGATACTGCAATGTGTCAGTGTACAAACGGGAGCGACCGCTTGGCTCTGAGTGGTTTTACACTTTCATTTGACGTAATTGTTTGTCGTTCTTTTTCAAGTTATGCTTTTGAAACACTCGATCAGGTAATACGAAATCATGGTAAGGTTATAATAGTACGACTTTTAAATATAATAGTATGACTTTATATATGACTGTTATAATAGTATGACTTTTTTTTTAAACTGATTTTTTTCTCAGTCGGACGACACACATCTGAGAAGAAGATTGGGCTTGCATCATCAACCGAACAGTGAACCGTAAAGCCCTTGTATTTACTCTGTAGATGGTAGTCATGAAAACGCCAACGCAGCCCTCTTAAACAAAGGGAAAGCACCTGGGATGTGTGCTGTATTTGTATGACAAGTGTGTTGTCGGAATGAAATTCGAATTGTTTGTAGCGTGAGTCCGTTGAAAAATGTAACGCTTGTAATAGGAGTAACAAAGCTAACACGAGCGATAATCAGGTCCCGAAGATCCGCACGACCAATAATGGGGTCTCTTCCTTCAGTTAAATCACCAATAATCGATTATTGCAATCTGATTATTTACTGGTAAATCATTTATTAGATGGAGAAAGAATTGGTTAAAAGTAAATTCAAATTATGTACTATAAAATGACCTCTGTAAAGTGCATAAATTGTGTGAGGAAGATGAACCGTTGAAATGGAAAGCATAGCACTGAGGTTGGCAGAGTTAATTGATCTCTTGAAGTTTCGGTGTGCTTGTGAACTCCAAGTTAAGGAGATATGCGTTTAATTAATTTGGTCCCTTTGTACTCGAGGGAATTAAGCTCCTAACATTGGAAACTTGTGAGGTAATAATCAGGAGAAATAGATAATCAGGAGAAAAAACTTTTCAGTGTTTGCACAACAGTCATTGATTTATTTGATATTCAAATAATACCTTTTTCGGAAAATCACATGGCATTACCTCGAGAGAGTCTTCGTCGCAGCTGTTATATTTAAGTGATATGTTAAGTACAGTCAACCTTTAAAGTATCAGTTGCAGGAATAGAAATAGCCTTAACGATGCTACATACAGCAATAATAGAGCCGTTCTCTCCAAAAGTGCTTTCTTTTTCTTTTTCCTTTTTTTTTTTCTTTTATTTTAATTTATCTTATGAAAGGCTTGACTGTTGGAATAGTCAGTAATGAATTTATTCAGTAACGTACTCACTGACAGTTGAAACCTGACTCTTCACCTGTCGATCTCAGGACGTGGGTGCCGCAGTAGAGTGCTGAGTGAGGGGAAGGGGTCCTTGTCTCTTTACACTTTCACCTACCCGTCGCTGCCTGTCCTGGCCGTTTTCGTCGCAGAGACAATTCAAAGCGAGTTCGTGAAAAAAGTGCGAATACAAGCAACAAGTCACTGAATCAAAATCGTATCAATTGTGGGCATGGAATCACTTGTCTTGGTAAATGCAGAAAAGGGAGAGACCCAGGACTGTCCAATGAAGAAGTCACATGCTTCTGTGATGAGTACTGCACAGTGTTTCGTGATTGTTGCGCCGATTACGAGCAGTATTGCCTTCAAGGCGTGCATTCCAGCTCATTAAGATCTCTAAACCATGACCTCTGGAAGTGTCGTGACGTAGTTGGGTTTCTGGTACCTTTTACAGAAAGTGTGTGGATGATCTCAGCATGTCCTGCAAATTGGACCCCCCATGACGAAATCGCTACAAAGTGTACGAGAAATTTACCAGAAAAGTCCGAAGACTGTCAAACTTACTCTGCGCCTTTGATCGACGCGAAAAATAACACATACAAGAATCGCTTTTGTGCAACTTGCCACGGCGTTGAAGTCAACACAAGCCGATTCAGTATGAAACAAAGTCAGTTCAACTTGTTAACGCTACCAAACTGAAGAACATTAGTAATTCGACATCTTTGGTCTTTAGATGTTCCATTGTAAGATGGAATCCACCTTTAGGGTTTCCCAGGCGTTATTGCCTCAACTTAAACGGAGACGAGTCAGTGCATGAATACCTCCGTAACACCAGAAGTGCAACGTGACGGCTCATCAAATTCACCGGGAATTGTCGTGGAAAAGCAAACAAATAAGCTGTATTTTAACAGATACTGCGCCCAATGCGCTGGAGTTCCACGTGACGAGATTCTGTGTGGACCCATAAAACTCGAGAGTTCTCAAAAGCCGACTCAGCCTCCTTTCCTTCACCAGCATGACGTGCCTTTGAACATCTCGTTCAGCCCAGACACTCCAAAAACAAATCCATGTGCTATTGGACATGTACTGGATCCTAGATCAAAGGAGTGCCCAAGGGCCATCAGCATGAAAAGGGCCATCAACAAGAAACTAATTCTGCCTTTCTTTAACAGATATAAATTTTCCATCAAATTTGCAATTGACTCTCAGTTTGGTAAAACAGATGGGGATCAATCAAGGAAAATAATAATTAACACAGGCTCTAGAGTCGGCGTTAAGAAATTTCTCTGCAGATTTTCCATGGACGTGTTAAACAGCACTAAAATGACTTATTCTGTAAATGCAGTGGTTGCCTTCCCGCGACATTACCTAAGTCAAACAAATGGCTCACTTACTTGCAATTTAACGATAGGGCATATCATGGCTTCCTCTGTAGTCAAGGAGGAGTGGGTACCTTTATTGTGTGTCACAATTGACATTTACAACCCAAATGAATACTTGGTTATCACAGATGCGGACTCCGCTAATTTTATCAACAGTACTAAAGACCAAATTCCTAAGATAGACTACTGGTCAAACCAAACTGAGTCTAAAAACGGATCAGTTGTTCCAATAGGTGATGTCCACGTCTGTCGAAAAAGCCTCAGATTGTCATGTTCTGGTGTCTTAATTCAGCTCAAGGAAGAGGAATACGTCATTTTAGGAAACGGATCCCTGTACAGGAATGACTCAAAAGCGTTATGCGGCATTTATGATTTCATGATGACAGACGGAATGGCTACAATCTGCATCATCCCTTCGTCTGCTAATAGCAACACTTACACGGCAATTCTGGTTTGAACCTACATTGGAATCGGTCTTTTCATTGTCTGCCTTACGCTTGTCCTTCTCACCTACTCCATTTTTAAAGAACTGCGTACCTTACCGGGCGTTAATTTAATGAATTTGTCCATCTCTTTGCTATTCGCCCATTCCCTTTTCATGACGGCGGGTGCGACTCAACGGCAGCAGATTTTTTCATCAATTGCCGTTCTAACCCACTATTTCTATCTTGTGTATTTTACTTGGATATCAATCATCGCATTTGATACCTACCACACTTTTTCCAGAACCTGTCGCACCCGTCAAAGAACAGCAAATCGGAAGTGTTGCTTCCTTGCGATTGGTTGGATTCCTGCCCTTTTGTTTGTTGCTATTTGTTACTCTCTTGACCAATCAGGTTTGGTTGCTATAGGATACGGTGGCGCGAATCACTGTTGGATCACCAATACCAAGTCTAACATTTTTGTTTTTGTCATCCTGGTGGCTTTTTCAATTTTTCTAAACGCGATCCTTTTCTCATCGACAGTTATTTCCATTTACAAAATAAAAAAGCAAACACAGGTGGTTGGAGACGCCGCAAACAATCGAAGACAAGTTGTGTTATTTGTAAAGCTGGCAGTCTTGATGGGATTCACGTGGATTTTTGAATATCTACCGATTCTCGTTTCTAAATACTTTGATTATCCATTTGTTATATTCAATTCACTTGAAGGAGTTTTTATTGCTTTTAGGTTTGTGTTCACAGCCAGAGTGAAGAAAATGTACGGCGCGTTGTTTGTAGCCAACAAAGTATTAGCATCAACAGCATAAACTCGCGATACTCAGATATAGCAAAGACACAAAAAGGCACGTCAATATCAGAAATCTAGCAGCGTACACTTGTGTTGCAATTAGCAGGCGAAGAGTGAACGTTATTTTCACTTGCTCTCAGACATGATTAAGTCTCTATTTGAGAATTTGTGCGTAGCTGTCAATAAATTCCGCTTCCATACGCTAATCATTAAAATGCCGATGTTCTTTTAAACGTATTTTTATACCTTCCGCTTAGGTATCTGACATGAACCAGTGACTTACAATTCACATATAAATGGTTAACACCTTCCTCGCTCGTTAGTATTGTAAGAACATTAGTTCCCTTCTGTCGGGCAAATGTGCCACTATGTATCGTAAGTACCTACTAGATAAAATGTTTTATGTAGCCACAAGACATGTACATAATGCCGACCTATTTTGAGCATGTTCAACGTGTCCTCTGGAAATAAGGGAGCTTTAATGAATTATCTATTGTAATGACTTTTCATCAGCGACTGATTGTTGAGTTGCAATAGCTGGCTTTGATCAAAGAAAGTTGGAGGCACTTCAGAGGAAATAAACTTGCTTTGTCATTTCATTTCAAACGCGACAAAAAACATAGACAATTTTTTGGTCAGAAGATCATTACAAACTAATGACCAACCCGGCACTTTTAAATAAATGTATTTTCTTGTAAGCCAGATAACATTTACATAAAAAATAAGCATTAATGATGCCTACACTGTTTAATCGCCTTCCTGAACTTATCGTTTCGTAGTGAATATAACCATGGATTTATTCCGAATGAAGAAAAACGCTGTTAACTCAGTCCAGATCCAAACAGAACGCAGTTATCGCTTCAAGCAATGATCACTCGTTTTCAAATGGATGAAAGACGTGACCCGACTTGGTAACCACGAAATGATGAACAACGCCACCATAAAGCTTACCGTCTTGGTTGTTTTTCGGTTTCGAACTCCCTCGATGACGAGCTCTACGCCTCCGGCGTTGGACATTGTGATTTTCAATTATTACAATATGTTCTTTGGCAACCACCAAAATCCGGTAGTAGCAAAAAATAATCAAAACCATCGGGATCAGAATAACCACTACCGTCACACACATCCATAGTGCCACTAAATTTTCAGGGTCTGTAACAAAGAACCATGAAAATTCAAACGCTAGAGATGCGAGCCATACAAATGCTACCGCCATGCAACATCTTCTTGTTGTGACGATCTGATTGTACAGAAGGGCCGACTGTACTGCAATGTATCTGTCCAAGCTCACAATGCACAAGTTAAACGTGGTGGTTACACTCGTTTGAATCCATAACAAGTCGATGGCGATTTTAAACGGATTATGATACGGACGCCGTGGTAATACGCACCTTGCAATCCACAACGGATCTATGATTAACCCCACTAAAAGATCCGCCATTGCTAACGAGTTCAGTGGAAGGTTAGAAAAAGTTCTGACGGTGCGAGCTTTGTAGATGAGCAACAGAAACACTACGTTTTCAAGGATGGTGGGTAGCGGTGCCACGCCGTATAATGGAGCCAGAGTAATCGATATAGAAAGCTTTAACTCTGTTCCAAAACATGGATTCGCCATCTTTAGACTGGTCAATGTTTCAATTGACGCGAGACCACCTGCTAAGTCAAGGAACTGACCACCTGAACTTGACACCCTTTTTCCTTTCTACGCTTTTGGTTTTCGGTGATTGACACGGTTCGAATAGTACAGTACAGGCGAAGTTACGCAAGAAGTGAAACATTGCTAGGTATGAAAAGACTTCATTACTGTGTTGTGAAGTGTTCGTGTCAGAATGAAGATAACGAAAAGGAAGAGTAGTGTTTACAGCGCCAAAATTACTGAGCAACGCAAATTCTAATCAATTCAGCAGATTGGACAGTTTGGTCAACTCTTGAATGCTATTTATCGATTTTTTAAGTTTGGTCAACTCTTGAATGCTATTTATCGATTTTTTAACAATCATTGTGACTCCATGTGCGCTTTGACAAAAATTTGCCTATGGCGGTACTAAATTAATTTTCTAATCACCCTAGCACGTTCGTATCGAGTTCGTTGCCGTACTTGCGGCAGGTGACGGCTCAGTTTTGGCGATTTTGTTTCCTGTTGTGGGGTGTGTTAAACGCATAGGGAACGTTTTTAGATCTTTGCTTGTAAGATGCGTTTGAAGACTCTACCCAACTCATTATGTAAACACTTTGTTATACGCAGACAATCATCTCCCGGTTGATAATCAGATATTCGGAGAATCAAATCTCAGGACAGTAGCCATCATCCCTGCGTCAGAGAATGTCTCAGTATCAAACTTCCCATTTGAACTTCGCTTAGCTCTTCATGCTATCGGTAAGTACATAGTAAACAAGAAGAAATTAGTTTTACTCTACTACCCTCTTTGATTGGACTATAAATTTCGCGCCAAAACTAAAACTTGGTCACTCGCGTTTTTCCCGCGCTTCAGGACGAGTTTGCTCGTTGCTACCTCGAGTTCTCATTGGCTACTTACCATATATTTCTTTCTGCTGATTGGCCGGCGTAGTTACTTTGGTTTTGGGTTTGCGATACTCCATCAAAGTGACATCTAAGGACGTAGTAAGCTAAGAAACCGACGTTCAGTATACATAGGTCATATTCCAAGGGCAGCTACCCTTAAGTTATGTTAAACATCGCGAAAACTTGTCAAGATGTTCGGGTTCAACGTCGGTTGGACTCTTTCCCTAAAGCGTAAAATCATCACAAAATGTTTATTAAGTGTTGATTTGTTATTTACCTGCATGCGGACTTACCGATTGAATATTTTGTTTGTTTGCTGTCAGGTCCCACCCTATTGCTGACCAGTTCGTTGGTCCGAAGCAGGCTTGGTAGCTCAGCCATGGATATATATTGAACTACTTGGCACCTTTTTCATGGCGAGTGTTTTCTTCAAGGAAGAAACGTTTTCTATTTCATTCGGAAATAAAAGCTTATCGACGGCACCAGCGGGCCGTGTAGAATTACAATATCTTGGTGGAAATTAATTCTAAAGTAGAGGAGAATGGGGTCGGCTTTAATTGAGGAACCAAATTTTAGCTGCACAAGTATTCTTGATCAAAAATTTTCATGTTATCGTTTACAGAAACGGTAATTTTCCCAGAGGAATTTTTTTCAGTGTGTGTTACAAAAGAAACTAATCTAGCTAGCGGCAATTGGCCTAATTAATGTTATTTGGAGTCTGTAGAATTTGGAATACAGTAAAATTGTTAAGAATAGAATTTCCTTTCTTCTTAACTGACCCTCTTCTGTTTTGTGTTCCTAAAATGAATGAGTACCGTTTGTCCAGCTGGCTTGGACAACAGGAGGATCTTCATCGTATCGTGTTCTATCAAGCTGACACGTTAATGTCTGCCTAGACCAAACGCTGTATAAGACAGGTAGAATATTGGAAGTATTCTTTTATTGAATTTATTTACTACGATTTAAACGCTAATCTAATCTTATGGACATCAAAGAAACTGAAAGTATCTGTATCCGGAACGAAGGTTTGTCTTAACTGAGAAAATGGTGTTGTTTTGAGAAAACTCAATTTTGAAGGATGATCCGAAATCATTGTCCAATCGCTCCTTTACCTTAAGGAATTATTTCCCAACCCAAACTGTGAGAAACTTGCTCTTAATGAGCGAGGGGCTAAAGAAGGGCCAACGCCCGAAACGTTAGCTTTAGGAACTCTTTACGATGGTCAATTAACATTGTCAATTCGTTTGATAGAACTAAATTATTATGTTATACCCCTCACCGACGCAGCACCACAGTTTCTTTGGAGACTTACCCCCTTTACTTTAACGAATCAGTTTTTGTTGATTTAATTTAACTCTCACATTAAGACAGGAGTTTTCAGTTTGAAGTTCGAGCGGTTGTAGTTTAAAGATTGAAGTTGAAATGAGTATTATTTTAAAATAGACACTTAAGTTCGAAGGAGGTGTATTGCGGAGTGCATTGCTGGCGGAGTGGTCCTTCTCAGCATTTTCTGTATTACAGAAAAGAAAAGCTGGCATATTACATGGCTTTACAAACATGAAATAAACGGAAAGGCTCTTTAATTAAGATTTGGCAAGAAAACGAGCAGCGTGTTTCCAGAGGCCCTGCTATACAGTATTTCGGAGGAAATACAATCAGAACGGGCATATGCTTAAATTTGAAGTACAATACAATACAATAGAACGGGCTTGTGCTAAAATTTGAAACGCTGGAACTTGCCGGAACTCTGAAGCATCCCGGAACATATCAAAACGTGCCAGAACATCGCGGAATTTCAAAAAATAAAAATAAACACACAATTTGATTTAAAAAAGTCTAAAATTATAATAAAAGAAATAAAACTCAATTTGTGTGTAACTTTCGTTCTTCGGGCGTCAAGTCCGCCATCTTGATTTACCAGTAACCAGGCTGTCGGAGTATTCAACTTCCAACATGGAGAATGGTAGGTTGACGTTTTCGTTTTATTTATTAAATTTTTTTTGACAACCTGCGGTAGTCCGGCATGTTCCAGCATATTCCAACATATTACGGTGTTCTTGTGTTCCTGTGTTCCTGTGTTCCTATGTTCCTGTGTTCCTATGTTCCTCTTCACATGTTCGTGGTTTTTTAGCATGTAAGGAAACGTTTACGATCGATCGTAAGCTTAACCCTATGTAAGTTTTCGTGTGGCCTATGTTTCCCGGTGAAATTAATTTCAAAGATATATTTCCCCCACATCTAATCGCGGTATCTTCTACATTCTTTTAGCGTATTTTGAAACTCTGTACGTTTCTATCAAACGTGGAGCTTGACAAATTTGTTCTCAGGATGCGTAGCGCTTGCCATTTACGAGTGCTTTCTTTACGACTGATTTACAAAACGAATTAGAATTCAAGTACATAGAAAGACTCTGCCTCTTTGCAAAATAATGCGTTTGCATGCCAAGAGTCGATTCCCTGTAAAATCTAGCTTTTGTACGCTTTTGTGTCCAAGAATATAATTTCGGAGTCTGATATTTCAGCCGTGAATCGAATTGTATCGTGGTCGCTGTTTGCCCGTCTTGCAAATTCTACTATGATTTCTTTGGTTGTGCCCCACAGACAGAAAACGTCGTCAATATCATCTTCCAAACTAGGGGTTTAGTTGTAATGTGCTCGATAGTATCTCTTTTCTATTTTTGCTATGAAAATATTGTCAAAATCCATGGCCATTACCGTTCCGTGGGTTTTGATGAACAGTTTCCGGATAATATTAACAACGACGCGCAAAGCACATCGATTCAGCGTGGCGTTTTTTAAATAGAAATTAGCATTAAGCAGAATGAACACTTTATTAAAACAATAGAAGCTGCTAAGGCCAGATGAATGGGAAAACTTGAACGCACGCCAAACAAGAGGTACTAGGTGGACCGTGTCTGACGGCTCTAGTAAGTAAATTCTTTTGTAAAAATACCTTTACATGAATTAGTTTAAAGCAATTCTGAACACTTTACCGAGAATCTTTACCAACGTTCAACAGGTAACTTCAAATCTTCATAGAAATTGGTAGTTTTGATAAAAACTGAAAAAATTACCAAAAATCTTAGGGGATGTTCGACCAGCATCTTGAAAACTTGAAGAAATTTAAAATTCATAGACACATGGAACTGTTAAACAAAGAAGTGACTAAAACTTGACAAATGTCTCAAGTGCGCATTTCTTAGAATATTTAGAGTCGATGGACATTCTCGAACAATCGATTTATTTATTTTTTTTTTTTGCTATAACACTCCTTTGGATAAATGTATTTAAGAAAAAGAAAGTTAAGGAATCCATCATCTTCGGGGTATGCATGGTTTAACTAAGCAGATATGCAAATTTTTGTGTTTCTTTCGACGGTCAACAGAAACGTAAAAACTATCCTATAGAAACTTGACTTTGCCCTATAGTAGTATACAATCCTCTCGCTTTGAGATGGTGTAGTAATCGTTCGAATCTTTAGTAAAATCGTCCTACTTTCGCTCGCCAGCTGCACCAGAGACCAAAACTAATCTTAGTCTTCCACAGTTTTAAAGTTGATACCGGCACTGCGTTTCCCTGGGGGTAGACGAACCCTATCGTAGTCGTCGCCGGTATTGAAGTTGATACCGGCACTGCGTTTCCCTGGGGGAGGAGGAATACTATCGTAGTCGTCGCCGGTGTTGAAGTTGATACCGGCACTGCGTTTCCCTGAGGGAAGAATCCTATCGTAGTCGTCGCCGGTGTTGAAGTTGATACCGGCACTGCGTTTCCCTGGGGGAGGAATCCTATCGTAGTAGTCGTCGGTGTTGAAGTTGATGTCGGCACTGCGTTTGCCTGATGGAGGAGGATGAGGCCTAAACTCATCCTGTGCCAAGACACTGTTGAAGTTGTCACTTCCCTAAAATTTAATTGGCAAAAAAAATTAACATCTATCTGAAGAAACAAATCCAAACAACGGGCTTACAAATAAATTCTAGAACAATCTACGGTAGTTAGAATTTTACCTCTTCGTTGAATGGTACCAACTTCGCAGCCTTAGAATCCATCCTTGGAATTACGGTGAGAACAAAGAGGGACGAAATCAGCAAATGGAACTTCATTTCTTTCAAATGTAGTGCGACCTGGTACAAATACAAATACAAATATGTATTTTCTGTGACAGGCTTACATCTCGCCGAGTCGCTTGAACACGCCAAGAGAATTAGCGCCGGCGGGCTACATCCAGCCGCGCAAGACCCAAGACTGTGTCATAAGGAACGTCAAGAGTTAATGTGCTCTTTGTTTATCCAGTTCTCCTGTATATTAAGTATTCAGTCATTCAGCAGAGGTATGACCAACACTTCAGGCCTTCATGAAATTTTACAGAACGTTTAAAGAAAGATTTTCAGCGTTAAGTGAGGATTCTAAACTTCGACCTTCACGGATTTGCGGTCTGATACTTAACTAACTGAGCGACAGAGAACTCGCTGGCAAACAGTGTTATTCAAAGCACTCGTAAGTTAAAGAAACGCGATAAAGATTTAAGAGTTTAAGGATGCCCAAGAGAAGTAAGGCTTTCTCCTAAATTACGCTTGTAAATAAACCTTACTTTCCTCTCTTTTCTTCACGTCAAAGCTTCGTCAAAGTTTATCGCAACTCAGTTCTCGTCGAAGTCCACTTTGTCTTTGCGAGAGGCCAAATCTATCTTTCGGCGGTCACCAGAAACGTAAAAACTATCCTATAAAAACTTGACTTTGCCCTATAGTAGTATACAATCCTCCCGCTTTGAGATGGTGTGGTAATCGTTCAAATCTTTAGTAAAATCGTCCTACTTTCGCTCGCCAGCTGCACAAGAGACCAAAACTAATCTTAGTCTTCCACAGTTTTAAAGTTGATACCGGCACTGCGTTTCCCTAGGGGTGAATGAACCCTATCGTAGTCGTCGCCGGTGTTGAAGTTGATACCGGCACTGCGTTTCCCTGAGGGAAGAATCCTATCGTAGTCGTCGCCGGTGTTGAAGTTGATACCGGCACTGCGTTTCCCTGGGGGTGGACGAACCCTATCGTAGTCGTCGCCGGTGTTGAAGTTGATACCGGCACTGCGTTTCCTTGGGGGAGGAACCCTATCGTAGTCGTCGCCGGTGTTGAAGTTGATGTCGGCACTGCGTTTCCCTGGGGGAAGAATCCTACCGTAGTCGTCGCCAGTGTTGAAGTTGATACCGGCACTGCGTTTCCCAAGGCCGGGAGGACCCCTATCGTAGTCGTCGTCGGTGTTGAAGTTGATGTTGGCACTGCGTTTGCTTATGAGAAGACTTAACTCATCTTGCTCGTCCACAGTGTTGTAGTTGATGTTGGCACTACGTTTGCCTGATGGACTAGGAGGTCTAAACTCATCCTGTGGTAAGACACTGTAGAAGTTGTCACTTCCCTAAAATTTAATTGGCAAAAAAATGAACATCTACCTAGAGGAACAAGTCCAAACCACGGGCTTACAGATAAATTCTACAACAATCTACGGTAGTTAGATTTTTACCTCTTCATTGAGTGGTACCAACTTCCCAGCCTTAGAATCCATCCTTGGAATTACGGTGAGGACAAAGAGGGACGAAATCAGCAAAGGGAACTTCATTTCTTTCAAATGTAGTGCGACCTGGTACAAATACAAATACAAATATGTATTTTCTGTGACAGGCTTACATCTCGCCGAGTCGCTTGAACACACCCAGAGAATTAGCGCCGGCGGGCTACATCCAGCCGCGCAAGACCCAAGACTGTGTCATAAGGAACGTCAAGAGTTAATGTGCTCTTTGTTTATCCAGTTCTCCTGTATATTAAGTATTCAGTCATTCAGCAGAGGTATGACCAACACTTCAGGCCTTCATGAAATTTTACAGAACGTTTAAAGAAAGATTTTCAGCGTTAAGTGAGGATTCTAAACTTGGACCTTCACGGATTTGCGGTCGGATACTTAACTAACTGAGTGACAGAGAAGTCGCTGGCGAGCAGTGTTATTCAAAGCACTCGTAAGTTAGAGAAACGCGATAAAGATTTAAGAGTTTAAGGATGCTCGAGAGAAGTAAGGCTTTCTCCTAAATTACGCTTGTAACTTAACCTTTCTTTCCTTTCTTTTCTTCACGTCAAAGCTTCGTCAAAGTTTATCGCAACTCAGTTCTCGTCGAAGTCCACTTTGTCCTTGTGAGAGGCCAAATCCTTTAAATCTGCATGAGAGGAGACCATCATTTTCGCTCATTGGCCGATGGGAAACAATAGCAAACGAACTCACAGGGAGAGTCGACATCTGATTGATGACGGTTGAAGCATGATCATTAGCCACGCTTCCTGATTTCGCTGTAGCCAATTTTTGTTTGGGTATTTAATGAAATGAAAGGTCGTGAAAGCGTAATCACGGAATGTTTGTCTGTATCCGGACATTCAGTCTGTGATCACTAAAGTTGAAAAACGCTTCGTTTTGGATCGTTTGTCGAGTGATTTAAACAAGTTCATTGTGTCGATCGATGTTCCTACGTCTTTCGTGACATCCTCCTGCTTTTCCGTACGTGGGGGCGTTAGGAAATGAAGAAGTCAACCGTGCAAGAGTTGTCTGTCTTCGGATCTCGTCAGGACACGTTAACTTTCAGAATGTTCATTGTTGCTGCTCACGAAGCAGAGTATTCATACTTAACATTTACCAACAGAAGCTCACTTTCCATGTATTTAGTTCCATTGCCTTCGTTGGTATTTGGACTCGTCAATGATTCAAGCCAAAACTAGAAAAGGATGGCAGAATTAATTATTTGACATCAGCTATTTTAGGAGTACCCTTTGCTTGATAAACACTTCCTACAATCAAGGCATTTCTTAGGTTCTTCCAATAACTTTCTTAAGGGTGGATTAAACAGATAGAACTTGTGTCGCTCGCTATGCAAAAAATTACTCATGTTACCTTTATAATTGCGCGAGTATTTCGTGGTTCAAGGGTCATATACTGAATATAGATAGCCAGAGAAGTTATCATGGCTCCTGCGAACTTTTGAGAAAACCTTTCAACGGAACGAAATATTAATTACTGAGGGTTACCCTAGATAGAGTAGTAACCCTTCGGGAGAAGTACTCTTAATCGCGTTATGCTGCAAGAACCCCATTATCGTCAGTAGATTGACCCCCCTTTGCTGGTGATCAGACTTTTCTTACGATTGAACAAACTATTGCCGAAGGGTTACCACCGCGCCCAACTTATTGATCGACATTTAGCACTACAAACGTCACAAAAGGAAGTTCCGACCGCATTCCATTCCCTCTCACGTTTTACCCTCACAACCACTCAGTTAAATCCATCGTTCTTAAAAACTTTAAATTACTTCAAAACGATCCAGAGACAAGTACTATATTTTCGCAGCCTCCGCTCATTTCATTCAAACGCGACAAAAACATAGGCAATTTTTTGGTCAGAAGTTCTTTTCAGACTAATGACCAACCAGGCACTTTTAAATGCGCTCGTGCACGATGCAAAACGTGTCCTTTCATTCACAACACTGATAAAATATCGGGACCTAAACGATCCATTAAGATCACCGATCACTTCACGTGCACCTCCGCCAATGTAATCTATTGCATAACTTGCACTTATTGCAAAAAGATATACATCGGCGAAACAGGCAGAAGACTAGGTGACCGATTCCGAGAACACCTTCGAGACGTGGAAAGGAATGACAAGGACACATCGAAACCAGTCGCTAGACATTTTAATTTACCTAATCATTCTAAGCAACATATGGCAATCTGCGGTCTTTCCTTACACTTAGGTAGCACGGAAAGCCGTAAAAATCTTGAACAAAAGCTCATCTTTCAAACCGGCAGTCTAAATCCCACAGGGATCAACGAACGCTTTTCATTCCACTAATTTATTCTTGTTTTTCTCGTTGCCATGTTCCCACCAATAACGTAGCTCCATTTTCTGCCTTTAAAAGCACACACAACCCACAATTCCTCTATTCGCTCCGACGAAGGGCTAACGCTCGAAACGTCAGCTTTTGTAATCGTTACGGTGGCCAATTTACCATTTCAACTTTGTTGATATATCCAAATTATTTCGTTACCCCCACCGACGCAGCCCCAAACAGTTTCTTTAGAAACTATCACCCTTTATTGCCGGAGGGGGTGGGAGAGAAGGAGAAAAAAAAGTACCGCTCCCCACCGCTCCGATAGAGCTTACACTAGTGAAAATCAAATGTCGTTGTCCTCATACTGACCTGTGCTTTCACTTCTTTTCTACTAAATTCCGCCACAGTGATAAGCCAAGAGTACTATTACAAACATCGAACGTGAAGCGTTCTGTACCCGTTCGATTGTATAATTTAATAGAGAGTTTTTTTGTTTACTTCTTTTTTAATTTCATTCTTTATTAATTGACCGCATTATATCGTTTCCCTTTTCAGGCGGATTCCATTGTCATTGTTGGCGTAGCAGACGGAAGCCCAGCAGTTGGTCAGGTATCACTTGAAGTATTTTCATTTCGTTTTTATCAGAAACTCTACTCATGTTTTTAACAAGTTTTCGATCGAATTTTGTCAGTAATTGAGGACTTTTTCGTTTTCTCTTTACTACGCTTTCTCACTTAGACTAAAAAAGAATCGATGCCCTCACAAGGACCTTGGAGCAAGGTGTAAAGTGGGAGGGCTGACAATTGAAAATAATTTTTTCATATTGAAAATCGAAAAAAGGAATAAAATCATAGTAATTATTTTTCTTTTTAGCGCAAAACGTGGGGGTGGGGGCGCAAAAAACTGGTGGGGCCGCGGCCCTACCAGCCCCTCCCCCACCACGGCCCCTGCCTCGACCATACTCAGTCAAGATTTATTCAGTCGCGTTTTCCCGCGCTCCAGGCAGTCTTCTAAAGCGGTGTGGTTAAGAACAGTTCGGTCTTTAATGACACTGAGGAGAATTTATATCCTGACAAAACATACATACCACACCAGTTTTGAGCGTACTTCCCTTCAGTGTCGTTAAACCTAAGGCCATTCCATCTCCATCAGTTACGTTTCCCCACGCTTCAATTCGGTCGAGAGTGAATGTTTTGAATTCCTGTTGGCTCGTCACGATAATGTCTTTGGTTCTGACGGGCTGTCTAGATTACTTTAGTTTTGGTTTCGGAACACTAAAAGTTCCCCATATTGTGGCGCAAGAAACACTTTAAATGAATTAAACTCTTCAACTCTATGAAATATATGCTTAGATGAATATCTAGGATTTCAACTGTACAATGTTAATGTTTAGACTAGATATAAAGGTCTGATGTATTTAAAATGTTTGTTTGGCAGAGTTCATCTTATTTCTGTATGACCTGATCATTCTGTGACATTTGCCTCCCTGTTTAGCTTGAAAAACAGCTGGAGAATATTGGTGTACGATCCCAAAAGGAGCTTATTCTGTTGCATCGTGAGGATGGCGCTAAAGGTTTCCGTATTTCACACACCGTGGATTGGTTGAACGCGCGCGGCTGGATCTGCGCTCATCATCATGTAAGACCACGTTTGATCAAGAGCAATTCATTTT